CCTATTCCATAGGGACATGGGGCTGATCCACAGAACATTTGTAGCACTATGCCATTCTTAAGCCTATGAGGGGCGGTGGGGTAGCCAAGTGGGTAAAGCGTTGGCTCGTCACGCCGAAGACTCGGGTTCGATTCCCCACATGGGTACAATGTGTGAAGCCCATTTCTGGTGTCCCCCGCCGTGATGTTGCTGGAATATTGCTAAAAGCGGCGTTAAAACAAACTTGGTCGGTCGGTCTTAAGCCTATGATCAGTGTTTGCCTGAGGCATAAAACTTTAGGAGTCATCATGACTCTCTGGTGTCATGAGAGGGAGTCATGGAGATGTTTTTGGGAAAAACTTCAGTTTGGAACTTTCATCAAGACATCAACTTAGATTGTTTAATAACGACAAAAACCAAGGTAAGGCAGGTCAGGTATTTAATCAGCACTGAGCAGTTAACTGGCAAATATTTAGTTTTAGAAGTTTAGATTATCTGAACTAAGGGCCCAGTAGCATTGCGTTAACAATGACACAAACTTCTAAATTCACTGCGCATTTGAGATAATTTGTGCATCAAATACCCTTTTTTTTTGCGTCATGGCAAACACTGTATCATAAAGTATAACGTTACGAACACTTTGTACATCATGACTATGATCAGTTACTTTTGACAATGAATATAATCCCTCCTGTAGCCCCTTGCCCACTTTACACACAGCCATTCCAAATAAAGCCTCTATCATATGTATCACAACCCTCTTCCACTTGTCTTGTCTCCCTACCCAGAAACACCTAGCCTTCATGATAAATAAGGACTACCGACTTTCTGTCTCTTCTCCACCCACACACAGATATCCAGTGTCAAGAAGCCTCCATCACATACCACCCCACCCCCTCCCCACCTCCCCGACACACAGGTGTCCCTAGCCACAAAACAGCCATTATATACCACACCACCCCCTTCCCCAACACACAGGTGTCCCCAGCCACAAAGCAGCCACAAAGCAGCCATCATATATCACACCACCCCCACCCCAACACACAGGTATCTGAAGCCACAAAGCAGACATCATATATCACCTTCCTGACAACTACTTCCATACAGACATACACCTCTTTAATTCTGGCCAGATCAATAGTATTGGGTAGATATGTTTGCAGGTGAACGTCATGGTAGGGGATACTATAATGACAGGACTGATGGGTCGTGGGATGTCATTGTTCAAGATAACGGGAATTTATCACAAACCGTATCAGGCTTGGGAAAGCTGAGGTGATTTCATTAACGATGCCATTTTTCAATTTGCGTCTGATAAGGTTGTAAGTTGATACAACAATAACGGCAAGATCTGACATCTCAGGAACAATCATGATGGACGAGATAACAGAACTAAATGGTCTCCACATAAGCACTGTCTATTTTCTGTTTCTGAAAATTCTAGACCTGAACATCTCACAAGTGGTTGTTTAGAGAAGACTAACGAATGAATGAACAGATGAATGAAGAACAAATGAAGAGTGAATAAAAATGAATGCACAACTGAACAAACAAATGAGCAAGAGAATGATGCTTTGATCAGCATTTCAGTCATATCACGATCTAACACATGTTATACTGAGGATTACACTTTCCAGTAAAGTACAGATTCTAGTACTTTTGTTAGGCTGAGACCCATCTGAGATTTGAACCTATACCCTCAGAGTCAGGCAGCTAATCGAAACCACAAATTCACCCGCCTAACCCATTTAGCCACTGCAGCAACCTAACGAAAATACTAGAATCTGTGCTTTACTAAGAAAGTGTAATCCCAAATATAATGTTTTATATTTGACCACTTTCTAAATGGCATTGTGTATTCATATCACAATGTGACAGTGACAATAATAGTCTGTCTGTATAGCACTTCATCCATGCTTAATATCAATCCCAAATACAATCCTCCCCCAACAATGGACCAGGGTGGACTCGAAAGTCATCCTCAGATCACTGGTCCAGGGTTAGTTATATCCAGGCAACTCAAATATTGCTGATCTAGGTATTAACTCACTCTGTGGTCTGAGGGGCAATACCGGTACTATAACTCGCTTGATGAGGTATATGCTTATCAGAAAAACAAGGTTCAAGTTAGTTTGTCTCACAGTCCCTGAACCACATTATTTCCCCTACTGCAGCCCTCCCTTGCAATTCTAAAGCCCCGAATGAAGCAAGTCTAGATTTCCTGAGGTTCCGAAATGACTGGGGCTCCTTTTCAAAACTAAATAGGTTTATTTGTTACTATCAAAATTATACATATTTTGAAACTCAGTGTAAGTGTGTTCTACATTTAGAAGGAGTGAAATTGGAAGCCATTGTACAAAGCAACCTTAATGTTTGTGACTGGTGTAAGTCTATGGCAAGGGAGTCATGATCACCTTAGTGCAAAAATCACCTTGTATAACGTCATCTATATCGTCTTTACACTTCTTCATAAATCAACCAGGGTGATAGAAAAATATCTATACAAGCCATGTAGGTTAACCAAGACATAAAAATAACATTACATCTTAGAAAACATTTTCAATCTGTAAATCCTTGACAATTTATCAATCACAACAAATGTTAAAAATATCAAACAAATGTTGTCATGGTAACAAGTTACCATGGTAAACATATCGCCTAATCGACCGCACCTCTCCATCTAATGGAAGCAGATAATCTGGTAATGAACATTACGTCTGCAGCAAAAATGAACTAGCATCCTACCCTAACTCTTCAAACAGACAGAATTCTAAATTTAAGAATGTAAAGTTGATACAGATTGAATGAGACTTCATCAACGAAGGAAGCTGTTTCTCTGAAACCACAAGGAGAGTCTCAGATGGCTGCTCAACACATGTTTAATGAGACAGGTTCTCCTATTCCGAGGCACAGCGTGACTACACAGTCATCATAAACCTTTCAAAACAGATCTTCATCTGCAAAGACATGTAGTTTCTTCTACGTTTTATATCATGTCAGTAGTTTCACAATAACAGAATATTGCTTCAGGGTGAAAACTACAAATTATGATGTCACTGTTTACAATTTGAAGACAAGAAAATAGCATCTTAATAATCACTTAATGTCAACGTTCCAAATTATTTTGATGAATGTTGATATTTATGATGATCATTTATTCGTCCTCATGAAACATGAATACTTGAATAACACGTTTTATGGATAACAAGTTATGTTATCCATAAAATGTGTCAAGTATTCACATTCTTCCAAATTCTAAATGCCTGTCAAGAACTGTCCATGGACCTCCCAAACCGTCTTTCAGAACAAGCTATATATAGAAGGGGAAGAAATGCTGAAGCTATTTTCTTGCATCATGAAAACCCATTGCTTGAAAGGAAATACCAATTGAGACTTCCTACAGGATGTCCTCTGAGGACATATCAATTAGTGAACAATTCGTGAACACAGAAATTAGTTTCTAATAAGTCCGTACAGTCTGCATCCCAATGATGTCACGATTCACTGATTTTTCTATATGACAATACCAATGCTTGATAATGACAACTTGATCACTTAATTATACAGGAGCATCATTAATGACCTTGTAATTTGCCATTCTTCCTGAAGAAGGCAGTTTCGTAATGGCTGTGATGTTGCTGTAGCCATGGTGTTCAAGGTGAACATGGTGATACTATGTTCCTAAAGAGTGCTGTTGATTTAGGATATTGATCTGATAGAATTGAGCAGCTTGTGGCTGTGTTGTTGCGTATTAAGGAAGTAGGCAGCGGAATCGATGATCCTGGTCATGGGAGACTGCCTCTTGGGTCTGTTGGGTGTAGCGGATCTGTTTACCTGACACACGGTGGAGTTCTCACAGGATAACGGTATAGATCCGAGGGTGTTTTATATCTATTTCAGATCTTACACTAATTGCAGTCTTAAGTTAGCTGATACCTGAGGCTTTCAGGAAAATACTTCATAACCCTTTTCAGGTTTTTAGTTTAAAACCTTGAGGTCAATTTTAGGCTATCTTATCACATCTTGAGGTATAAACAGCTCCTCGCAATGTGATGATGTGTGCTGGCTTGAAGAGATGTACTGGTGTTTCAACACTTTGAGGAGATACTTGATGGTGTGTGAACACCTTGATAAGAAAAGATGGTGTGTGAACACCTTGATAAGAAAAGGATGGTGTGTGAACACCTTGATAAGAAAAGATGGTGTGTGAACACCTTGATAAGAAAGGACGGTGTGTGAACACCTTGATAAGAAAGGATGGTCTGTGAACACCTTGATAAGAAAGGATGGTGTGTGAACACCATGATAAAAAAAAATGGTGTGTGAACACCATGATGAGAAAGGATGTTGTGTGAACACCATGATGAGAAAGGATGGTGTGTGAACACCTTGATAAGAAAGGATAGTGTGTGAACACCATGATAAAAAAAATGGTGTGTGAACACCATGATAAGAAAGGATGGTGTGTGAACACCATGATAAAAAAAAATGGTGTGTGAACACCATGATAAGAAAGGATGGTGTGTGAACACTTTGATAAGAAAGGATGGTGTGTGAACACCTTGATAAAAACAAAATGGTGTGTGAACACCATGATAAGAAAGGATGGTGTGTGAACACTTTGATAAGAAAGGATGGTGTGTGAACACCTTGATAAAACACATTGATATGTGAACACCTTGATAAAAAAGGATGGTGTGTGAACACCTTGAAGAGATGTAATGGCAGCTTCAACACCTTGATGAGATCTGAAAGTATCTACAAACACCTTGAGGGGTTCTGGAGGTATCTTACAACTTAAGCAGATCTGACAGTATCTCCAACACCTCGAGGAGACACGATACCTCCAATACCATGTGGAGATTGTAACATGAGGTATAAAGACATCTATATTACGTAAACCAGCGTTAATCTCATTGTACTTACTATTCCAGGACCAGGATGATCAAAGAGATCTGTAGATACCTCAGACACATTAAGATCTACCTAACCCAGAAGAGCAGTGATCTACATGTACTTACTATTCTGTGACCAGGATGAGTTCCGACGGTGTTTCATACACTTCCAGGAGATCCACCAATCGGGGATGAGCCAGGGCAAGTTCAAGCATCACCACTTCACGTAATATTTCTTCCCGACAGCTCTTGCCCTTCCGCCGTTTTCGAATAAACTTGGCAGCCACAGTATCCCCAGTTTCGTTGTTCACACATTTTTTCACCACGGCAAATTTTCCTCTGAAATAAGAGACAAAAAAACTGATTATCATTCACCACTGTTCATGGCTATATACACACAAAACCGTGAAGATCCGGGTTAGAATTGGTCTTCAGCAACCCATGCTTGTCGTAAGAAGTGACAAACTGGATTGGATGGTCAGGCTTGCTGACTTGGTTGACATATGTCATCATATTCCATTTGTGTACTTGATGCTAATGCTGTTGATCACCGGATTGTCTGGTTTATTTACAGATTGTCGCCATAAGGCTGGAATATTGCTGAGTGCGGCAAAGAACAACCAAACCAAACTTAAACGTACAAACAAGTATTATCTTGGAGATCACAACAAAAAAATCCAAATAGAAAATACATTTACACAGTGACATATCTTCTGTATTTTCTACATTTTCAGTCATTAAAATTCAGTTCAATTTGTAGAAAACTGACACATCCAGAACTGGTATTTAATTACCGTCCTCAAATGCTACTAGTCATTGAGGACCACAACTACCATCAGCCACCTCAAATTCCAAAGGATGTGTGTACTTAATACGATGAAGTGGACCCTAAAGCCCTAGCAGGATAGATACTGCAGAAAACTGTCAATATCAACAATAATTATAATCACAATCATGATACATCTTGAAACCCACATCTGAAGAGAAATTGTGCCACTGAGTGAGTGAGTTTAGGTTTACGCCGCTTTTAGCAATATTCAGCAATATCTATCGGAGGACACTAGAAATGGACTTCACACATTGTACCCATGTGGGAATCGAACCTGGGTCTTCGGTGTGACGATCGAACGCTTTCACCACTAGGCTGCCCCACCGCCCCCAAATGTGGCTGTGAGGTAGCATAGTGGTTTGAGTGCTTGCCGAAAAGTGTAAGCCCATTTCTGCTGTTATCACTGGATTAATGCTTAAGGTGGTGTAAAACCATCCTCCCCCTTCCTTCATAACATAAAACCATTTCATCCAAGTATCCCATCTCAAGGAAGGTATCTATTTACAGCATCAATAAATAATCACCTGAAGACCAGTTTATACAGATATAGTATATCACATAACGATAACACGTGTATCATATAACACATAAAAAAATCATAACGGCCAGTGGATATATAATTAGATGAATCAAACACTAAAATTACACCAGGCACATGATATAGTGGTTCATGTTCTCAACACAACGGTAGAGTTACACTCCTTGAGTCGTCCTTCACGCAGATGCATCCGGAGGCTACTGTGGAACTGAGTGACTCACTCATGGTAAAGGTTGTACATATCCTGGGGCTAGACATATTGTGACCTATATTTACTGCTATCTGCTTGGGGTGCTGGGGTAGCCTAGTGGTTAAAGGGTGGCTCGTCACTCCGAAGACCCGGGTTCGAATCCCCATATGGGTACATTGTGTGAAGCCCATTTCTGGTATCCCCCGCCGTGATGTTGCTGGAATATTGCTAAAAGCGGCATAAAACCAAACTCAGAAAGAACAGTTCCTAAATTATGATCATAAATTTTAATATAAAGGAGCCCAGAGACTTTCTTCTGTTTCGGAAATCTAGAATTGCCAAGTATTTTAGACTTGCATGGACTTTCTTGGATATATTTGTTTCAGGGTCTGTATGACAGACTTAGCAATGTTCTACTACAAAAGTTGTCTTACAAGAAAGAATCTATGCTGAAGTTGCTTATGTTTGAAACTGGGTTTGATAACTATGCAAATTATTACCTTTCATAAATATACAAATTTTCTACATATATACACTGCTGCATAAAGTAATTGTATGCATAAAGTGTAAAAGTCAAACAACTATTAAAACATTATTTAAATGCAATAGCTAAAATCCTCGACTAAAACTCTGTCTAGTTTTTTGGTACAGCTAAATATTACTCTGAAGAAGATGGGACATTTTTTAACCTTTAGGAAATCTCGACTTCTTTTACAGCTATAGCATTACAGTTAGGGTTGGTCATAATAGAAAATATTGCGGTTCAGGGACTGCGAGAGTCCAATATCCCCCCAGGACCCCCTTAATTTATTGCAACAGTTTTCTCAACATACAGTACAGAATGGTTATGACGAACACACAGGACTACTTATTTAAGTCAGTTATACCAGTAGTTCGTTATACACATTTCAACTAAAATTTATATTGAGTTTCCAGGACCGAAAAAACAGTTTATAATTATCTGTCAGTTCATTTGAAGCTCGTTCCTTATCAACATAGTTTACTGTACACAATTTTCCATGTTTACTGTTTTGAATCAACAAGTTCAGCTGTAAGAGTTGAAAAATCGAGCTGAAGAACATTTATTCACTCACTCACACACCTGCACATTTAGTTCAAGTGCAACTTTTAAATTCAAGGTCATTTTACGGGCCCACAACAACTACCACTTCAGACATGGATATATTTAATTCTGTTTACAACATTTCCATGGTTTAAGCCAGGTGTATAAATCATACACAGACTCATACAGTGATGCGCTGTAGGCTATTTTCATACATCATTAACTATCAATAATCCTTGGCAGGATTAAAGCCAGGTGTTTAACTAAGCACCTCGAAGCATGCTGAACAATCCAACCTGTTGACCAGGTAGTACACAGGTTGGTGATTGTAACCTTATGTAACCGTAACCACTGGGCCGGCAGCCATATTGGACAGTTCCAATAAGCCGATGATGGACGACTTGACAAGCATCAGTCGATCAAAGATGACAGAGACATTATGATGCAGTGGTTGTAATGACATGCGACACTAAACTCATGAATCAGCGATTTATCTTGCTGTATTTGAAGTGTGCCTAAATGAAGTTTTGTCCGACCGTGCGACAGATAAGAAAGGGCACCTTTTCTGAATTTGTTTTTGCTCTTGTTGGAAACGAGTTGTCGATTATTTCATTTAAATCAAGAAGGAAGGATTGTTTATGTTCTTAACTGACATACCTATTGATTTGTCTTTTAACTTTCACAATAGCCTACAATGTTCATTATCAAATATATTTTGACTACTTTAAACCTTCTTAACCAAATTTGAAATTTGTAAACAATAACAATGGTTATTTATAAAGTGCCTGTTTCAAGGCACAAACAATTTATTACCCCGGTGCTAGAATGTTACCAGTCATGACTTATCCCACCGGGTACCCATTCACTGCTGGGAGAACAGAGGCAATTTATAAACATACTCACTTGCCAAGGGCAATTTGAAAGTGAATACTGCCCATGACATTCAGCAATATTGTAGTCTTGCATCAACACTCATGCTAAATATTCAAGTGTGAATCAAGAAAACCATGTTATGGCCTTATTTATAAGCCCTAATCTATGATCACAACATGATAATACAATAGGCATTATAAAAATATCACCAGACAAAATCATCAATTCAAGATTTGTACACAACAAACAATATCTGAAATGTCAATTTCTTCACTGCTTGTATATTTATTGCTTGCTTATTTACAAACTTTAAGATTTCTACATTTCTGCTTATCTCCTTGCGACAACTTCCATGAGTCCATATTGCATCATGAAGCCCAGCAATGTCCAGCTTCCACTCGACACTAACATTTGAAACTTTTAATAGACGGTGTACGGATATCCTCTATGACTAAGTTTCCTGTATGTCGGTCTCTCGATACAAGAGTCTCCTGACACTGTACTGCACGTAATGCCAGGAGGTCGACCTTCTCACTCGGCATCCACTGACCTAATCACCAGACAGATGCATGCAACATGATGAAACACTGGTCCATCCTATAGCCCTGTATCATGGGTAGTGGATTCAGCAGCCATGACTGACCTGAACTAATGAACAAAACACAACATACAGGTCCAACCTATAGCCCTGGACCATGGTTACTGGATCCAACAGCCATGACTGACCTGAACTAATGAACAAAACACAACATAACACAACACAACATACAGGTCCAACCTATAGCCCTGGATGGTTAGTGGAACCAACAGCCATGACTGAACTAATGAGAAAACACAACATACAGGTCCATCCTGAACTAATGAACAAAACACAACATACAGGTCCATCCTATAGCCCTGGACCATGGTTACTGGATTCAACAGCCATGACTGACCTGAACTAATGAACAAAACACAACATACAGGTCCATCCTATAGCCCTGGACCATGGTTACTGGATCCAACAGCCATGACTGACCTGAACTAATGAACAAAACACAACATACAGGTCCATCCTATAGCCCTGGACCATGGTTACTGGATTCAACAGCCATGACTGACCTGAACTAATGAACAAAACACAACATACAGGTCCATCCTATAGCCCTGTATCATGGGTAGTGGATTCAGCAGACATGCCTGTTATGAACTCATGAACAAAACACAACATACAGGTCCATCCTATAGCCCTGGACCATGGTTACTGGATCCAACAACCATGACTGACCTGAACTAATGAACAAAACACAACATACAGGTCCATCCTATAGCCCTGGACCATGGTTAGTGGATCCAACAGCCATGACTGATCTGAACTCTTGAACAAAACACAACATACAGGTCCATCTGTAACACTGTATCTTGGGTACTGCCACCAACAGTCATGACTGATCTCAACTCTTGAACAAAACACAACATACAGGTCAATCTGTAACACTGTATCTTGGGTACTGCCACCAACAGTCATGACTGATCTCAACTCTTGAACAAAACACAACATACAGGTCCACCAACAGTCATGACTGATCTCAACTCTTGAACAAAACACGACATACAGGTCCATCTGTAACACTGTATCTTGGGTACTGCCATTAACAGTCATGACTGTTCTGCACTCTGTAACAAAACACGACATACAGGTCCATCTGTAACACTGTATCTTGGGTACTGCTGCCAACAGTCATGACTGATCTGAACTCTTGAACAAAACACGACATACAGGTCCATCTGTAACACTGTATCTTGGGTACTGCTGCCAACAGACATGACTGATCTCAAATCTTGAACAAAACACAACATATTGGTC